ACTTGGGCCTGGTGCAGATGGAGCGGTCTGAGAGGAAGAGGTGCCAGAACAGACAAGTTGATTCTAACGTTCACATAGAAATAATAAACAAAGCAAAATACTAGTGGAAACTCTGAGAAGAAGAAAGCTGTGAGAAGTGCACACTTACCACCTGTCCCAAACAATTAAACCAGTGTGCCACTAGCACACACCCCGACGAATGCCCCAACAGAGCAGAAAATGTGGGACTGAGTGTATGATTAATGTGACAGCTCAGTTGGGAAAATGTGGCTGAATCAATAAACTGTATGGGGCCAATGAGGTGGCCATCTGGAGAGAAATAAAGTCCGATTCATACCCCACACCGTACACCGGGACAAACTCCAAAAGGATCCAAGGTTTAAACCTAAAAGATATGAAACCATAATATGACTGAAAGAAAACAGCAGAATTCCTATACAGCCAATGAGTGACATATCTAACCAAGGCTCAAATTCTAGAAAAGACAGATCAATTGGACTGATAAAAATAAAAAATTCTGTATGAAAAAAAATAACAATCAGGAAAAAATGGGGGGGGTACATTCTTACACTAACATTGGAAATTGAGGGTTAATCTCTCTAAAGTATACAAACTCTTATAAATTGAAAAGAGGACAAATAACACAAATGAATGAATAGAAATGAAATTTAAATGACCCTTATACCCTTATATGTAGGAAAAGATGCTCAACATTATTAAGAAAATGTAATAAAAACTACACTAAGATAAATTTTATTATCTAGTAAGTCAGCCAAGAGTGTAGCAGCCCCTTTATTTGGAGAGACTGTGGCAAAACAAGCTCTCATACATTTGTGGCAAGAGAACCCTCAGAGAGGGCAATCTGGTAAGATCTATCAAAATTAAAATGCATCCACCTTTACCCCAGTAATCTCACTTCTGAGAACTTACCCTACAGATAAGGCAAACATGTGAAGTGACATTTACAAGGTTATTCACAACATAATTTATTATAGAGGAAGATGGGAAACAGACAAGCAATCACCGACAGGGATTGGTTGAACAGATTGTGCTATGGTTCATCCACCCGACAAAGTACTATGCAGCTGTTTGGAAAACAAGAATGAGGAAGCCTTGGAACTGATTCAGAAAGAGCCCCCAGATGTGCCATGCTTGGGGGGAAGTGCAGACCACTGTTTATATGATTCTTCCTTTGGTATAAAACACTGGAGAAGGAGGAGGGATTTTTTTTGTAAGTGACTTGCATTTTCAAAAGAAACTAAAGCTTACCAAAAGAACAAATAAAAGTGGTTACGGTTAAGGATGGGAGGCAGAGGGGGTGCTTAGAGGGAGATGTTTCACTCTAAATTTTTTTTTAACCATGAGAATATTTTATGTATTCAAAAAATTAAATTAAAAAATTAATTTTATGTTTTCAACTTTCGACATGATTCACAAGTACTATGTAAAAACAGACATCCACCCACTCCCTCAGCCTCAGCCTCATCCTAGTCTAGATCCTGGAGTGAGGCTCAGGGACCATTTAAGTCTTCAGTGAGACCCCGTTAGGCCCAGCGGCCCACAGCGTAGGGCCCACAGCCAGGGTTGCCATTCCCATCAGGCCTTGGCCCCTTATCAACAGGAACTTGTTTTCTCCCAGGAGCTCATCAATCCCAGCAGGGGCTGAGGAAATATTGATGCTCAGCTCTGGCGGGTTCACTGAAGGCTTGCTGAGTGCCAGGTAATACCAATTGCAGTGACGATCAAGGCTGAGCCGCTCTGCTCTGGACGGCATCACCTCTAGAGCCCCTAAAGAGGGCCAAATTTGCAAATGACCGAAAATGGCCAAGTGGCAAATCACCATACAGGAGATCCTGCCTCATGCTCTTGGCCTTTGTCCAAACGGAGTCTTGAGAACTGGATGCTGGCCCCACTGCTCACCCACTGTGTGCCCTTGGACAGGACACCTGGTCTCTCTGGGCCTCACCTTCCTCATGTGTTAAATGGGGCAGTAATACCAACAGCGTGGGCTTGCTGTTAGCCCCACATGTAAGTGCTCCACAGAGGCCAGCTGGATCCGAATAAACCCTTTACTCATGGCTCAAAGCAAACTCACAAAGAGTCCTTAGAGATCAGAGGTAAGGTTCTCTGCTTTAGACAAAACCTCCTCTCCAGGCCCCCAGGTCATAACTCTGCTGGGTTGTGGCCTCCTAGTGGGAGGCACTGAGAGTACTAGAGAGCGTAGGGAAGACTCAGACAGGAAGCCAAGGATGAAGGCCAGTGAGCGCTAACACCAGGGTGGATACAGGAACCATGTTAGTGGAGGCTGCTTCTCAAAGCCAACACCAGAGTGGGGAATGACAATCAGCAACTCCTGTGGGTCAGCAAAGGAACCAAGGTGAGGTACTGAGGGAGTCGGGGAAGCCTGGAGCACACCCCTTGGGTGCCTTCACACCCTCCTGCCCCACTACTTCCTGACTAGGGTCCTTTTCAGACCCAGCACCTGGAATAGACTGGTAACAATATCATCAATGAAAATTAGCTGAAAACTTTCCAGATCCAGGGCTGCTGCAAGCCCTTTGTCTGTATTATCTAGGCACTATTACCGTTTCCATTCATCAGATTGGAAAACTGAAGCTGAGAGAGCCTAAATAACTTGCTTAAGTCTAAGAGGCTCTGCTAGGCAGACTATAGCCACTAGCAACAGGTAACTATTGAACACTCGAATGGGACTAGTTTGAATTGGGAAGTGCCAAAAGTGCAATATACACACCACCGTTCAAAGAGTATGAAAAAAAGAATGCACAACATCTCATTAACAATCGTTATGTAGCTCACTCCTCGAATATTTTCCCCAAAGATCTAAAAGCAGCATATCACAGCAAACATCAATGTTAACAGCACCACACTTCGCAATAGCTAAATTATGAAATCAACCCAGATGCCTCTCAATAGATAAATGGATCAAGAAATTGTGATACACACACACACAATAGAGTTCTACTCAGCCATAAAAAAGAATGCAATTATGGCATTTGCCAGTAGAACTGAAACGGAGGATATCATGCTAAGTGAAATTAGTCAAACTCACAAACTCAAACGTCAAATATCTTCTCTCCTATGTGGAAGCTAAAGTAAAATAAAGGAAATGGGGAGAGAAGGGTGGGACAACATAAAGAATCAATCACATGTAAATTAATAGACAAGCGAAAGGAAGTCAAGTAGAGAAGAGGAAGGAGATGGAACACGGGAGAGAGAATGGGAGGATAGTGAGCTGAAATAGTTCTCTATGCATATATGAGTTTGTCAGGATGAACCCAACTACTATGTATAACTATAAAGCTCTAAAAAAAAAATGTTATGTAATGCTGGGGCTGTTGCTCAGTGGTGGAGCACTTGCCTAGCATGTGTGAGGCCCTGGGTTCCATCCCAGTACTGAAAGGGGAAAAGAAAATGTTAATTACAAGCTGAAAGGATAAGATTTTTAGATATATTGGATTTAATAAAATGCATCATTCAGATTAATTTACCTGTTTCTTTTTATTTTTCTTAATGCAACTACTAAAATATTTTAAATTAAAAATATGGCTCAGTCATATTTGCACTGGACAGCACTGCTGCAAAGCTTAATTTAGGAGAATGGAGCCTGGCAAACCTTTTAGTTAGGCCAAATTACTTAAGACTGAGACTTGTTTTGCACAATTTTCTTAGCACATATTTATCTGTTTCCCAAACAGCATCGGATAATACCAATTGTGCATTATTCGACTCTCACTATTGGTCTCCTTTATGGAGCTCTGAGCACAGGGAACATGTAAATGCCAGGGTGTGGTGCCAGGTGCCCAGCTTCAGTCAGGGTCAGGAGAAGGTGATAGTTATGGCAGAGAGGAAAGTGAGTCCTTCCTGCCATGGGGGCCAAACGGGTGGGCTGTGTTCCTCAGCCCGATGAGGCCACCGCAGCCTGCTCAGACCTGTGAGGAGGGATGGAGGAAGGGCCCTGCGAATGCTGGGCGTGGCCTGGGTTCCTCCTCCTCCCGTGCATGCTGGCCCCAGGAGGCCCATGAGCAGGCGCCCCCACCCTGGCTACACCTTCTGAGGTCCTCAGATCCACTTGGCCTGGTTGTAAGGTAGGATGGATAGAGGGCTGCAATGGTAGCTTTGTGAGGGGTCAACCTCTGCTGTGGTCTGAACATGTTCCTCCAAAGTTCACATGTAGGAAACTTGGTCCCCAATACAGCAGTGTTGAGAGGTGGGACCTTTGGGGGTGGTCAGGTCATGCAGATTCACGTATTTGAGGATGAATGAAGATTATCGCAGGAGTGGCTTTGCTACACAGGAGCTCTCTCTGGCACACTTCCTTGTCTTACCATGTGACGTCCCCCCTCCACGTCACAATGCAGCAAGAAGACACGGAGGCTGGCTTCATCCTCTCGAACTTCCCAGCCTCCAGAACCATGAGCCAAAGAGACTTCTGTTCTCTATGAATCACCTGCCCTGGTGTTTCGCTATAGCAGTTAAAGTGGATGAAGACCCCTCCTCCCTGTCTTGCCCGTTAGTCAGAGGGGGAGGATTAGACAGGGTCACAGCCAGCTCTGTCAGTCACCTCCAAAAGGTGCCACATTGCACATTCACAGATGCACAACAGGCCACCCAGGAAAAGTGAAATGAACAGGCCAACAAGCCCCTCATGTTGCTGGAGTTCAGCCCCAGACTTGGGGCTCGGCAGAGGAAGGAGTAGAGGGAGGCTCCCGCAGTCTCTGAGGGGCTCACGGCCTATGCGTGCTGCTCTTTGCCTGGAAGAGCCTCCCCACCCCCTACCCCGCCCTCAAGCTTGGACTTGAGCTGCTCCTCTGTGAACCCCCCACCACGGCAATGGTTTCTCCAACCTCTGCCCTTTTGCCCCCAACCCTGCCCTTCATGACAGTACCCAGTTTGGTGCCACCTTCCCCACCCCCAGCTCCTCCAGAAAGGATTAGAGATGTGGCCCCAACTGGAAAAGCCAGCTCTGGAACAAGCACCGTTTTATCTCAACCTTCCCTTTTTTTATTCCAAACATGGAATAGAGTTTTATCAGGCACATTTAATCATTGCTCTTCCTCCTCTTCTCCCATTACGACAAGGTGATTTAAGCCGCGTCCTTGGCAAGCTCCAACGAATGGGAATCAAAATTCAAGTCACTTTGCAGCAGCACATCCTAGAGTTTATTCCTTCTTACAGTGGTTCACTCAGCAGACCTTCCTAGAGCTCCTTCGGAGAGCAGGGACAGTGCCATGCTGCTGTAGGGTCACACAGTGGTCCCCAACTTCTGTGGCTGATGGTCTAATGGGAACTAGCTCACTGTGTCCTTGGCTGTCAGTCCATACATGGGACGGGCTATGACGAAGACATGAACAGAAAACTCTGGTAAAACAGATGACAGAGGCACTAATGGTCTGGAGATTTCAGGTAAGACTTCACAAAGAGGAAGTGACGTGTGAGCTGGGAAGAAAGAGAGAGATGTTCCAGGCAAAGGGGACAGCAGATGCAAATGCAAGGAGATAGGAAAAGGCACTGTGAATTCAGGACAGTGAGAAAAAGTTGGACATGCTTAGACGATCAGGCACACGGGCAGGAATATCACCCGTGAGACCAGGGAGGAAAATCAGGCTCTGATTTTGAAACATCACCTATGTTGCTGGAGGCAGCAGGGAGCTGGTTATGTCATTCTGTAGGAAGTTCCCTCTGGAAGCTAGCTGGAGGTTCGACCATTCTGGAGTGTGAAAGACACTCTACCGGGCATGGCATATTGGACCCTGGAGAGGAAAACGAACCTTTTATTTTCATTTATTTTTTATTTTTATTTTTATTTTTTGCAAACTACCTAAGGATCATTTAATTACTTTATTCGCACATGCATGCACATATGTGAACGCAGCAATACATCTGGCAGTCTTCTTTCGAAAGAGTTTAAAAAGAGTCATCAAATTCTCAAAAATACGGCTGTCAGAATTTTTCAGGTTAGAGGAATTGACTAAAATGGCATTGAATATATTGCAGAAATAATTACTTTTCCTTGGCATTTGACAAAAATGTTTGCTGAATTAATTGATGTATGAATTAGTAAAAAATACTTTTGGATAAAATCCTCTGAGGCAAAAAAAAAAATGTTAGAACAAGATTAGGACAGAAGAGGGGATTTATAATGGGAACGAACATTTTATTGTAAAGATCTGGTGAGTACAGATTAGACAGGCAGGAATAAGGACACTGAATCCCCCAAAGAGAGGATGGCACAAGTGTCCACACTTCTCTTCCCATACCCACAGCAGGGATTGCTGAGTAATCACATCATTTTTTCCTGCTGAGTCTGGTCTTGGTCACTGATTTTTTTTCCCCCAGCATGGAACTCAAGGTGGCCACCACCATTTAGCTGAGATGACACAATGAATGAAACAGGTTTTCTGTTCTTACCCCAGAGAAATAAAGCCTAACAAGCAACTTTAGCTAGGTAAGCTTAATGTAAAATTTCCAGAGAAATAATATTCAAAATAAACACAAAAAGTTGATAGGGAAGAATCAAGTTCTTAGCCTTCAGAAAGTGCAATTTAAAAGGGGGGGTATTGGCATTTGAGCCTACTTTTCCCACAACACAGCAGAATCATAGAGTAATTATTCTAACCCTGTCTCTCCACCATACATTTGGAAATTATAAGCAATTCCTGAGGCCTTGCCCCACAGGTTTTGCCTTCCAGTTTCCACTCGAACCTGCAGAAAGAGAAAGGTCGCAAAGTCTGATAAAAACAAGAAATCAAGTTTCTTGGGAAAGGGGCAGGGCAGCCTGGTCTGGCTCAACAAGGCAGCTGTGCCCCTGGCTGGGAAAGAGGTGAGACTCCATCTGACCTTGTTCCCTCCTTCCCTTCCCCAGTCAGGAATCCCAGAATGACAGCAGCACTCCAGTTCCTGAAAGGTCCCAGCTTTGTGCTCTTGCTCTCTCCCAGTGGCCTTAGCCTCCCACACTGGGCTTTGCTATGCCTTCCCTGTACTTGACCTCTTCCCAGGCCTATATTTCCTTCTCGCACCTCATAGACCCAACTAGGAAAGCTGAAGGAAAGAAACATTGACTTCTGGGGTCTCCATGATCAAACCTCTGATTTAGGACAGCCTGCAAGGTGCTTAGAAAAGGGGTCCCACTCGTTCCTCAAGTATGACTTCCCTTTCCTTGGCAGGGTACCACATATTATTACCTATTCACTTCCCTTCATCTCAGTGGGCAGAGCCCCAAGATGCTATGAGTGATCTCCAACAGGCTGAGAGTCCAACATCAGGCAGCGGACAGGAACCCAGCTCCCACACCTAACACCAGCCAGGGTCTAGTGGCCTGATACTCCCTGACCCACAAAGGAAACCCAATCAGAACCCCACAGAGGAAATCCTGCTAAGACCCCACCACGCCATGAATTAGGAAACTCATCCACTACGGCTCTCAGAACCGTAAGACATCCATGGGTCGAAGGTAAGGTCCTCGGCCAACTCAGGAATGAATCTGGAACCCCAGTCTCAGTTTCCCCCTCTGTAAAATGGGGACTCCAAGGCCAACTTTGCAGGCTTGTTAGGTAGATTGATGACTGTGTCCAGAAGGAGCCATCTCACAAGGTCGCTGGCACACAATAGGGGCTCAGCACCTGCTAGCTGTCATCAGAACCCTGACTCACCATCTCCAACTACAGACCAGGTCAAAGGACCTGGCCACCCAACCGTAGTCCCTGAAATGATAAGCAGATATTGTAGTGTTAGAATGGAAGGAACTGGGCCAAGCACCCTCCTGGGACACACCCACTGCCCAACACCTACCTCCTAGCCACCTGAGTTCTTCACAAGGTTTATCTTCCTCTTGGTGGGACTAACTCAGCCCCAGAACTTCACATCATCTTGGGAGGTTCCTACAAATCTGCCAAATACTCACACCAGCAATCCCAAGCTAAGGAAGGACACTCAGTAAATAACAAAAGCAGGACATCATGTGCCTGATGCCTGCTCCACCTTCCTCTCTCGTCAGCTTTGACCTTCTGCCAGACTCCCTGTGGACAGATCCATGCATGCCAGGGAGGGTGGGGAGGTTCTGGATTACCTCACCAAGGGCCCCCCAAGTGGCCATACCAGCAGCTCTTAGGGCCCCAAGGTCTCTGCTGCCCTAGCAGATGCCAAGCAGAACTGGCCAGAGGGTGTAGTGACCCCAAGCTGGCAAACAATTAGATACCCCTTAAATAATAACCTCCCCTGAATCCAGAGATCAGAGAGGACCTCGGATAGTCATCCTCAACCACTGCTCCACACTACGCAGCTTTGGCCCCAAACATACCCAGAAATCCAAAAGCCCATCAGTTAGTGGCCTTCCTCTCCTTTAGGAACCATCCTGGGCTCTGACCCACCACCTGAGAGATTGTGCCACAGCCCAAACAGCTTATCCAAGAAAGATCCTCCAACTTCATGAAACCTCCCTGAAGGCGACTTGGACAAACATCCCCTCCATGTTTTTGTGTCCCTTATAGATGGCTCTAGATGACTGCCCACCTGCCCACCACTCCAGGTTACTGAGGCCCTGAGATAACTCCCTTCCTAGAAACCCAGACCCACAAATACTGACCATTTTCTGGAGGATTCCAGGCCAGACTCCAGCCACGGCAGTCATCTCTCCTCATGATTTCCAGTGCTGAAAGGACAAAGGCTGTCCCTATGCAGCTCCAGAACGAAACAGGGAAGCCACCTGCCTGTGACATGAATATTTTTTTATTATTTTATTTTATTTTTTAATTTGTTCTAATTAGTTATACGTGACAGTAGAATGCATTTTGACACACTGTACACAAATGGAGCACAACTTCTCCTTCCTCTGGCTGAACATGGTGCAGAGTCACACCAGTGGTGTAATCATATATGTATATAGGGTAATAATCTCCGTCTCATTCCACCGTCCTTCCCATCTCCATACGGCCCCCAGTCCCCTCTGCACAATCCAAAGTTCCTTCATTCTTCCCTACCTCCCCCGCACTATGGATCAGCATCCGCTTATCACAGAGAACATTCTGCTTTTGGATTTGGGGGATTGACTTATTTCACTTAGCATGATGTTCTCTAGTTCCATTCTTTTACTGCAAATGCCATAATTTCATTCTTCTTTGAGGCCGAGTAATATATTCCATTGTATCTATGTATCACATTTTCTTTATCCATTCATCCACTGAAGGACATCTAGGTTGGTTCCATAGCTTACCTATTATGAATTGAGCTGCTATAAACATTGATCTGGCTGCATGTGACATGAATATTTAAAGAATTCGTAGTACCCTCTACCAACTTCTTTGACGACATGTTGAAAGATACAACAGATAGAGGCCCTCCAGCAAGGGAAGGAGGGAAGACTTGGCAACATACAGTAAGAGATGACCTACTAGCAGTGAGAAAGAATATTATTAATATTACTGACAATAGTCACTTATTGAGCACTTACTACATACCAAGTCCTGAATTCACACTTAGTATACATTATCGAGTTCTGCCCAGCCTATAAGAGGTTATCATCCCCAATTTACAGCTGAGGACACTGAGGCTCAGGGAAGACAATGACTGTGCAGATCCTCCACCAGTAAATAGAGAAAAGTAATGCATACCCATCTTTCTCTGGACTCCTAGCCCATCGCAGTGGTCACTATCCCCTCTGGTGTTGGACTGCAATCCTGGCCCTATTACTTCCTAGTTCCACCAGGCCTGGGACCATCTTCCCACCCCAATCTATTTCCTCAGTTGTAGGATGGGGAGGATTTCTTCTGCCACCCCATCTCCCTGAGGTGCTTAGGCATCCAAAGAGCTCAAGGCTGGAAAGCACTTTGTGAACTTCAAGGGATCATGGCTGACAGTGTCTCCCAACATTCCTGCCAAACTACATGGATTCCTCCAGTGGAGAACGATGCCCCTCTTGGCTCCATGCTCCTCTCTAAGTTCCTCCTCTTCTCCTTGGAAACACTTTCTGAAATCAACAAGGTGGGTGCTGAGCCCCAGCCATGCCAACTTCAGGTACCTGGAGTCCCAGGCCCTTCCTTAGCATCTGCCCCCATGGGACCCAGAGCAATCCCATGCCCAAAACACAGAACCAGGTTACCTAGGGCCCCAATGTGGGGAAATGTCATGATTTTTCCCATGTGAACAGTGACACGAGATATGAAAATAGAAAGAGACAGAGGGACTCCACCCCACTGACGATTGGTCCCACCGAGCTAAAAAGGAGCACAAAATTTCCAGACTGGGCAAGATCAACAAGGAATTGGCTTGTAAAAAGGCAAAGAGATGGCATTTTCTGGAGTTAATGGGACTAAAAATAGTGTGAGGTTTTCCACTCAGCTGCGGTGGTACTCCAGGATGTGGCTGTGAAGCATTTGTTACAACAGCTACTTGCACATTCAGAACCGTTCACAGTGACCAGCTCCCCACCCAACTGGGGACAGACTGCCACCTGTGCCCCTCCCTGGAATGCTTTTGTTCCCTTCGACCCTGGCAGAGTTGATTGTCCCATATTCTGAGTTCCAGAAACTTCCCCTAGCAGCGTTTCCAAATCCATTTACCCAAAGTACCCCCAACAGAAGAGGAGAATTGGCAATGGGGGGGCGGGGGAGATGTGAAGAACAGGAAGTGAGATCTGAGATTTACCTTTGGATGACCATGAATGTCCTCCAAATGTCAGTTTGGCCCTAAGAATTATTGAAAATATCTCACTCTACTCCCCCCCAAAAAGTTCAAGTTTGCTTTAATGCTTAAACATCAGCTTTCCCTCAATCTCACAGTTATACTGTCACTCCAAAAAGGAGGGTGTGCCATCAAGAGCCCCTTGGTTCAGGACTGCAGAGGTAATACAGTGCAAAGCGGAAGTCTTCACTGAGGACCCTGAGCTCAGAGCTCCTACAGCCGTTGAAGCAAATCATTCATACATCCATCAGTTCATTGACATTCAGTCGACAAGTAGAGGCTGAGCTTCTTCTAGATGCCTAGAGAGAAGAGCCCTGTCCTCCAAGGACTTGGTTTAATAGAGGAAACAAACAAGGAGACTGGGATCACATAACTCTGTGACGAGTGCTCCCACTGGGACTAGCCACAGGGGTTCTGGGAGCAGGGAGAGGAGGATCAGGAAATCCTTCCTGCCAGGCTACCGCAGAGAGTCCTGTGTCCTTGGGCAAGCCAGCCTACCTCTCAGTTTCCTCATCTGTTAAATAGTCATATGGTTTACATGGGGGTTAAATGAGTTCTAATTAAAGCAATGCAAAATGATGAAAATACACCTACTTCTTCCCGAGGGGTCAATAAATATTACATATTAAGCTGAAACCTGAAGAATAGAGGGAATTGGGAGGTGGGGTGAAAGGAGATAAAGGAGAGAAGAGTGTGTTCCAAAGAGGGGGAACAATCTGTTTAAGAACAAATAGTCAATAAATATTTCTTGAACAAACACATCCTTTAAAGAGAAGTGAGAGTAATGCGATCTTGATAAGCCACACCCTTTACCTATTGTTCCCTGGAACCTGTGCGTAGGTGGTACAGAGTGGCACCTGAGCCCGGTATCCACAGGTAAGCCTGCCACATTTTCCTAAGCAAAGTGCCAAATCCTTAGGGGCAGACATTAAACCTTTCCCCTCATAGGATCCCACAGCCCTGAGCCAGCGTGACTACAGCCTCTTATTCTTTGATCCCCCAAAGTTGACCAGTTGTCCCCTCTCCTCTCTCTTTGTATTATTTCACCATCACCTTCCTCCTGAGGAAAGATCTTGGCCAAGACCACTGGAGAGAATATCCCACCTCATGAAATGACCTAAGACCCGCAGCCTGGAGCCAAGGAGCCCTGGACTTAAATCCAGGTCCTAGTTCTGCCAGCTGGCAGCTCTGAACCCAGGGGTGAGTCACCTGGTACCCAGGGCAGACTGCTCACTGGGCCTCTCTGAGGAGCAGACCTCAGGGGTTCTGATGGCCACCCATCCTGGTTCTTACTGCATGAGAAGTTTCCTGGGATTTGAGAGTTGCCATGCCACAAGGAAAGTGTGAGGCAGAGAAGTTGGTCACCCTCTGAGGTGGCCCTGAGAATCCATCCTCGCCCTCCATCTTGTTTCTCCTCTCCCATGTTCTGTCCCCTTTTTTCCGCAGACCTGAGTCACAAGTCAGCATGGAGCAACATCACAGGAGATCAGTGTCTCAGCTGACCCACGGGTCTGTGCCCATGCAGAAGGCAAAGGAGGAGAGGAACCAGCCACCGTGACAGAACGCACTCGAGGTTGGAGTCATTCCTCTGTCTGAGGTGGGAGGACTGGACCAGAAGCTCTCAGGAATTTCATGTAGGGCCCAAACCAGCCCAGCCAGCATGTTCCCAGGGCCAGGTTAGGAGAAGCTGGTCCACTCTGCTGTTTAAGAACAGGTTGGTGGAAATGACGACCCCTGGGGTGCCAAGCCAACTGCTCTTCTCTGCAGGGGTTCATTGAGACCTGATGCTGGCCCACTAGGCAGAGTGGGTCAGAGACTGAAGAGGTGCTCTCAGTTGGGCCCCAACCCCATGCACGCTGGGAAATCCAGGAGAGTCCCCAGGGGCCTCTGCTCAGCTCCCCAGGGTGTACCCCGCCTTAGGGATGGCAGCAGGTCTCTGCCATCCCATCAGAGAGACATTTTGTGTTTTCAGTTCCCAATCCCCACTTACGCACTGGTCAGGGCTGGAATGCCAGGCTATATTAGGTCATCCCAAGTCAGGCCTGCTGTGCTTTCTCATTAGCCATATCCCATCATATTTTTAGGGGCAGCAGACACAGACAAAGCTAGACGGTGAATTTTCTTCCTGAGTACCCACACACCACCTCCATAAAAATATCACACTCGGAGGTCCAAGAGCCCCCATAAGTTCCTTCCACAGTCTGGAAAGGAACCAGCTCAGAGACAGCTGATTGTATGAGCCTGAGGCAAGGAGGGATCAGGGTCACCTACTGTTTTCCACCCCCTGTAGCCACCTACACCCACCAGCCCACAGCTCTGCTGACCAGCTGGTTTCTTGTGGCTCAGGGTTAGAAGACAAAGATCTAAGACTCTTGTGGGGACCCAACTGTCATCCTTCCTGCCCCTCCCCATCCCTCTGGATGCACAGTAACTCAGCACGTGGTTTTGTGCTCTGTCGCCTGCCATATCCATCTCACTATGGCAGGGAACAGACTTTCCCAGGAAGCAGAAGGAGGAGCAGGATACCCATTTCACAAATGAGGAAGAAAGGACAGATGAGAAGATCAAATCATGGAGACAGTAAGTGGGAGGATGAGCACCTCTTTGATGGCCCCAGGGGCTAGGCTCAGGGGCCAGGCCTAGCTGGCCATGGCAGTCGATGCACTTAATAGCCAAAGAGGAGCTGTTGAGCAAGGGCTTCCTTTCTCCCAAAGTATAGTCCTGGGAGGGAGCAGTCCTGGAAGCTCCCCTGTACATACATCTCTTCCTCCCCAGCCTTCCTGGGGAAGGCAGCATCCACAGGGCTGGGAGCTGGGCAGGGGAGAAACCAGAAGTGTCTCCAGGGACTTTCCACTTGTTCTCTCTCCCCCGATTCCTGTCCAGTCTTCCTCCCTTCTCCCTCCTCACCACCCCCTCTCTCTCACACATACATACACACGCACAGAAACACACATACGCACACACACACACACACATACACGCACACACAGGCACATCTGGGACCCAGGCATGCGGGGACCAGTTCTAGATGTCATCCTTGATTTTTACTCAAGAAGGGCAAGGAAGGGTAAGTCCTCTGGTCACAGCTTTTGGGTCATCGGCCCCTCCAAGTCCTTTAAACCCATGGGTCAGGACACAGACCACCTTACAGGTGGGCTGATCAGCAGGACACTAGACCAGCAGGACAATTCCCCTTATCTAAGTCACTGTCACTCCTGCTTCCAAGTCTCCAGCTCCGTCTCAAGCAGTGAGGTCAGGCTCACTCTACTTACTGACAGCTCCACACAGCTAATGAGAGGAGGACGTGCCTCAGACGAAGGAGCAGGGCTCTAGCCTCCTTTCACTGGCCACATCCGCATTTTCCTGACCACACTTCCCCCCTCCGCCCCTCCCACACCCAACTTTTACCCACACAAACTTATACCGGCTGGCCACACCCTTCCCCAGGACAGTAAAGGCCCCAGGGTCAATAAGGCCACACCAAGCACCCTCTACAGGCAGGGGAACTATGCTTGACTCCAGGTGGGGAGTGGGGGAGGGGGTAATGGAGAGGTCAGGCACTGAGTGGACCAGCCCAGCAGTTTCAGGCTAGAAAAGAAAGGTGTGTACAGACCAACAGAAAGAGAAAGAAAGGAGAAGAGAGGAGAGGGGAGGGGAGGGGAGAGGAAAGGAAGAGAGGAAGGAAGGGAGGGAGACAAGAAAAATCAAATAAAGGGTAAGACAAAGAGCTAGAATACATTCCCCTAAATGGTGTGATTAAGAATCCCAGGAAGAGTGTAAACGGGAAATGATCATGGAGACATTTGGGGAGCTGGTGACATCCAGCTGGCCTTAGAGAGCCAGGAGGAGTGAGGTCCCCAGTTAAGCCTCTTCCTCCAGGTTCCACGTGGAACAAAGGTCAGCAGAGCCCAGGGCTCCACACTGCTGCTCTGGACAGAGACACACACATAGCTGACTCAGAGATTTTGGGCCCTTCCAGGATCTTGTGCTCAATCACCATCACAGTTTTGACAGCTGGACTTTCGCAGGACTGTGGGAAGAGGCAGAGCATGGGTCCAGAACACTGGTGGCTCCCCGGCCCCTGCTCTCAGCTCGCCTGGTTTCATTTTGCCAGATAGATCAAAGAGCATTCCTCCAACTCACCACACACAAAAATACACACTCCACCCACCTCTGAATCCATCCCTAGAAGATTCAACCATGAAAAAAAAATCATGGGTGCCACAGATCCTGCTCGGGATAGCCAGGATTTGGGCCATGCCTCTCACGATGATCACTGTTATACTATTTACAGAGTCAGAAAACAGTGTTGAAAACTATGATTCTGCAAAGGGTTTGTGAGAAGGAGGAGCAGGACCCTGGGGCTGGAGGCCCAGATGACAGGAGTCTCCCACCTCTTACCCAACAATGTAAAAGAATTCCAGGAATTGGTGGATGGCTGGAAGATCTTCCTGACTCACCTAATGAGTTGTACAAAGCAGCCTTATATACTCAAACTATTAGCTTCCGTACGACAGCATATGGGTGATGGATATCTGACTTTGAACTGATGGACCCCAGACGAGTTCAAAGAATCACTTAAGTCAGTGTCAACACAGTTTGAATTAGAGTTGATCATAACACAAGGACCAAGGGGCATTCGACTAAAGATGCAAAACAACGTGCTTTAAAGTCATGCAATCTCTGAAAATATTAATGAAGTGACTTTGACACAAAGGTCGCAGGGCTGTATCTGTCAGAAATTTATTAATTGCAAGTGACAGGAAACTCAACTTGGATGGACTTAAATAAAAGAAAAAGGCATTTACTGGATAATGAATTTTTTTAAATCTAGGGATAGATCTGACTTCACACATGTCTAGATTAAGGCTCTGTTGATGGCATCAAACTCTATTTCTTTCCCCTTTTCAGAGCTCTGCTATCTACCATGACAGTTCCAGGTGATAGAGAAACAGCACATCCATAAGAAAGACACCTGATCTCTCCCAGTAATCTCAGTGACAGTCTTTGAGCATCTCATTGGCTCTGTCCAACCCAGAGACAAGATGTGATTCAATCATTGTGGTCAAAGTGGGGGGATATACAGGCTACCGTCATGGGCTCAGATTATAAGGCCACCTTGGAGCCCAGTCCAAACATATAGATGGGCAGTGCTGAGAGGGATGTGGGCAGACATAGATGGAGAATGGGATTATTGCCAGAATTGGGAATGGAGGCCGGGAAGTCAAGCCACAGGTGTTCTGTGGATCAGTTTTCACAAAGGATCTCCATCACAGGTGAGATGAACTACAGATAGAAACCAACCCCCTCAATACCATTAATTATGTTCTCTCTGCCAGTGTAGGGAGACTTCTAGATGTGCTGCCAAAAAAGCTGAAAGAAAGTAAACAAAGTGTCTCCCCCCATGGAGAACCTGGAACTGCAACCTAGCAAAGAGCACCATGTCTCTTGCCTCCCTGGATTTGGCTCATGTAGTCCTGCCCCCAACCAGGAGAACTGTCCAGGTCTCATCTGCAAAGTTGAGACCAGCAAGATATGAGTCATTCCTGACCTCTGATAGTAGGGACCCAGGGACTGGGTCAGCGGAGATATGCACAAGATTTTCTCCATTGTTCCTAGGACATAAAGTAGGGCACCACTGTCACTGAGCAAATCACTCATAATCATCAAGAGGAGTCAAGACCCAGAAGAAAATACCATGTACCAAATCCAAAGGCAAAGCAACCAAAGCATGAAAGAGCAAGTAAGCACATTGGTCACCAGGACAACTGAGAGTACAACAGAACAGTGTGAGGCAAATGTGGTGCAGTGAGTGGCTTGGGGCTGACACTATGAACCATGAGCACAAGCCAGAGCTGTTTGCAGATGAGCAACAGCAGTGACAAGCAGCCCCAGACTCTGCCAGATCAAGGCCACATAACAGAAAACCCAGAAGTGGCTATTAAAGTGTGCCCAGAGTAACCCTGACTTTGAAGCTCTCCTTTAGCATGCACCACAGTGTCTATGGCTGCACATAAAAAAGGTTGCCAGGAATGTGACTGTGAAGCCATTATTCCCTGTTCATGCTGACCCTTTTCTGGTCCTTCCTATGAAATCAGGCCAGCCTTAACAAGTTGAGATCACCTTTTGACTATGGCCTAAAAGCACTGCAGTGTTTTAGATAGAGAGATGATAGACGGTCCTTCACATCCATTAGCTCCACATCCATAAATTCAACCAATTGTTGAATGAAAATATTCAGAAAAAAAAGAATTACACCTGTGCTGAACATGAATAGACCTTTTTTCTTTTCTTTATTTCCTAAATAATAGTATAACAGCTATTTGTATTATATTAAGTATTTAAAGTAATCTAGATATGATTGAAAGAATATAGGAGGATTGTGTAGGTTATATGCAAATGCTACACCATTTTTATAAAAGGGACTTGAGCATCTTAGAAGTTTGGCATCCATAGGGGCTCTGGAACCACTTCCTGCAGATGCTGAGAGATGACTTTGCACGCACATGCACACACAGGATATGCAGTATAAGTGTGTACATGACATATATGTATATTCATATTCCACACACACACATACATGCATAACCTGTTCCTCTATATGCTCAAGATCCTTCATAGGCTGTTCCCCCAGAGGAGCCCCCCACTCCAGCCTATGCTCATCTCAGGCCCTCTGGTCATCATCAGCCTATGGGTCTCTCCTCACTACATTTGTACACTCTCTCTTCTTTTCTCTGTTTCAAGCACACACACAAAAAAAAGCAGATGATAATCATAGCTCTTGGAGGTCAAAAGACCTGTGCATCTCCTGGGCTCATCTCAGCCCTTTTACTAAATCAGACTCTAGTAACTAGCTCTAGGAGTGGGGACTGCAACCCTGGAGACCAGCTCTTTCCTGCAGGACCGAAGGGATCTGTTCTAGAGACATACTGTTTCCTGCAGACGTCGGCCTCTTCAAAGTGAACAATCCCCTGTCTTAGTGAGTACACAGGTGTGGAGCACAGTCACACAGGGCGTGTGCCTGTTTTTGTCCTTTCACGTCACTCTCGACCCCATGTCCTCCCCTTTGCACTCACCTTTCCATGTGTTAATGTAGTCCTCCGTGGGCCTGTCAGCTGACCTTGGTGTGCATGGTCACATTGAGCATTATTCACTTATTCATCCAACAGATGTTTAGCTCATGCCTTCTGTGGATTACAGGTGCCTGAGATTCCACGTAAAACAAGGTTCCTCACCTGGTGAAACTCGCACTCTCAGGAGTAAAACATGATAATCACACTGATATGAGATGGTAAAGGCACAGAGAGGACCCTGGGACAAGCTGTGGACTGTGGTTCTGAAGAAGGGGTAGAGTAGACAATGAATTGAGTGACCCCAGTCAAGTCCCATAGATCCACCTATAAAGTCAGAATGACAATATGCATCCACCTGGAGGACTGATGAAGTCTGCATGAGAGTTCATATGTGAACAGGGCTTTGCAAACAGCACACGGGCACGTGGGCTATTATTAGAATACGCCCAACCCCTAGGAGGGGTTGAATCATTTTCAATATTTTGCTCATATAAACAACACTATTATGAGCACCTTTGAACAAATCTCCCTATTTTTTTTCTTTTAATATCATTATTAGTCTATTTTTCAAGAGTATGACAGTGAAGACAAATGATGTAAGTAATAGTATAGCTCTTCTTACCTACTGCCAGTTTTCTCTCTAAAAGATGAGGCTCAATTTACATACAGCAGCTGAATGCGCACACATATTTCCAGATGTGATATTCAAAATATTAGCAATCAGTAAAGCACAAGCATACAGCAATCAGAACACACACCAGCTGTGGACCTGTGGTACTGCCACAGCCTCCCTGGCCTTGGATTTTGTGATTTCTCCTTTTACTGTGACTTTATGATTTCCTTTTTGTTTTTTAACTGTAATATAATACCTAGCAATTGTTTCCAGGCTCATTTCTTTCACTGCTTGAAGGTTGTTCAATTAACCAGATGAAAGAGTATCCATCCATTCTCTCGTGTGTCAACCGTCAGCATTAATATCGAATTCCCCTCATTATAAGTAGTTAGTCTAAAATGCACAGGACAGGAAATTTTTCCCAATTATGCTTTCTACTTAATGTTTTTTTCCCCATTATGTTCATTTCCTCTTTGATGAGGATTCTTTCCTTTCAGTTGTGAATATCTTTTTTAAAAAATTTATAAATTTTTCACATCCATCTTCTCTCATCTCAGCCTTCGTTTATTCCTCTAGACTGGAGACGTTGCAGTATTTCCTTCTCATTTTAAGAAACTTCTCACTTTTGCTACCAGTTATA